AATCCTAGAAGTCCAACACAGGACAAAATCTTTAAAATTGTTACAGAAAAGCAATAAATCACATATTAAGGCAACATCATTAGAATTATAGTAGACTTCTCAACACAAATTTTAGTCCAGGAGAGCTGGAAATAAAGTGTTGGACTCCTAACAGGGAGAGGGAAGACTTCCAACAGACTGATACATCCTGCAAAACTATCTTTCAAAATTGATAAAAACAATAGACTTTTCATGACAAAGAGCACTTTAATAAATTCATGACCACAAAAACCAGCAGTCCAAAAAAATTCTCAAAAACATACCAGAAAGAGAAAATGAAGCTAACAATGCCAAAACAAACAAACAAACAAACAAACAAATACACTGGCCCCGTGAGTAGTTAAGCAGAAGAGAAAAGAAATCAGGAACAACAAAATAATGCAATGACAAAATAGGTCAGTCCTTTCAGCAATAATTCTCAATGTGAATGGTCTCAATTGTCCCATCAAAAGACGCAACTTGACAAACTGGATCAAAAAACAAAACCCAACAGAATACAAAAACAAACAACAAAAAAACCAGAACTAATCTAAAAAGCTATTCAGAGGCTAAAAATAAAAAAACAGAAAATAATATTTCATACAACTGAAACTCCAAAATAAGCAGAAATAGATAATCCTGATTTCAGAAAAAGTGAATTTCAAGCCAAAAGTGATGAAAAAAAATGCAAGGACAATCACTACATATTGAATAAGGGAACTATTCAATAGGACAAAATAACAGTTGTATTCACCAAACACTGGTGCACCCAACTTCATAAAACAAACACTATTAGACATAAAGATCAGAATAACCAACAGATATACAGTGGGGGACCTCCACAGTCCACTATCACAGACACATCAAATAGGCAAAGTCAACAAAGAAGTATCAGTATCCAATGACACCATTCATCAAATGAACTTAATGGGTATCTACAGTATTCCACCTTACTACAACAGAATACACATTCTTCTCAGCAACACAGGGGAGCATCTCCAAAAACAGACCACATACTAGCCCATAAACCATGCCTAAATAAATGCAAAAGAATGAAAATTATATCAAGCATATAATATAGACCATACTGCAAGGAAACTGAAACTCAAGTGCAAAAGAAACCATTGAAAGTATACAAATGCAGGGAAATGAAATAATATATTTTTGAATAATAAATGGATTACAGAAGAAATTAGTTTAAAATCAAATGATAATGCCAGTGCAACATACTGTAACTTATGAAACACAACACAAGCAGTCTTGAGAGGGAAGCATGTAGTGAGTGTCTCTATCAATAAAACAGAGTCCCTGGGATTTAGCTCAGTGGTGCCACAGCCTGCCTCGCAAGTTCAAGGTCCTGAGTTTGATCTCTGCTACCAATAAATAAATAAACAAACAAACAGAGTGAGCACAAATAATTAACCTAATGATATCCTCCAAGACCTAGAAAAATGAGAAAAATCCAAATGCAGTGCTTGTAAATCAGAGAAGAAAGTAATGAAATGAAGACTTAAAAAAATACAAAGAAATATTGGTTCTCATTTTTCCCCTTGTCCCTGCCCTCCCTTTCCCCCTCTTCCCCTCCCCATCTACAACCACTTTATTTCCTTCTTTTCATTCTCTCACATTTTTTTCTTTTCCCTTTTTACCCTTCCCCTGCCCATCAGACCTTCCCTACACCTTTAGCTCCTTTCTTCCCATTTCTCAATGTCAGTAATCTTATTAGGATCTTCTGTATTATTGCAGATTATTCACACCAGAGAAACTATTTGGTATTTATATATTGAATCAAAGATCTGGTTTCTGCAGAGAATAAATAAAACAAACAAATCCTTAGCCAATCTTATCCAAAAGAAAAGACCCAAGTCCATTCAATTAGAAATGAAAAAGGTGAAATTAAAATGGACACCACCAAAGTCCAGGTATAAGTAACTCCTTTGACTACCTGTACTCTACTAGATTGCAGAATTCAGAAGAGATACATAGATTCCTAGATATCAAAATTGAATCAAGAAAATATAAAACCCCAGGATAATAAAAAAAACAGGTAATGAAATTGAAGAAATAACAAAAAAATAAGAAAATTCTAGGACTCAACAGATTTCACCATTGATTTGTTCAAGAACTTCAGGAAAAAACTAATGTAAATGATTCTCAAATTTTAATAAAATCCATGTCCCTTACTATGTATTAAATTAAAATTAAAGTGGACTAAAATCTAAGTATTAAGCAGTAGCAATCTGCTAGACAAAAAAAAATGGGTAAAAATCTTGCATACATAGTTGTAGGCAAGGACTTTTACAAAAGAACTCCAGTTGCACAAGAAAAAACATCAAGAATAACAAATGGGATTATATCAAATTAAAAATTAAAATGTTTATGCACAGCAAAGGAAACAAAGAAGTGAAGAGACAAACTACAGAATGAAAAATATTTTACCAGCTACACCTTCAACAGGGGATTAATATCCAAAGTATATAAAGAACTTAAAAAATTAGACTCCTCAAAATTAAAGATCTACTAAAAAATGAAAAATAACAGACACTTCTCAGAAGAATTGCAAATGGCTAAAAATACACAAGACAATATTCAATGTCTCTGGCCATTAGAAAAACTCAAAACAGCACTGAGATTCCATCATATTCCAGAAACGATTACATCGTCAAGAAATGATGACTGTGGGGAAAAGGAACCCTTTACATTGTTGGTGGGAATGTAAACAAGTACAACCCTTTTAGAAATACGTATGGAGATTCCTCAAAAAACTAAAACTAGAATATTTCAAACTCCTTAGCATTTGGGGTTTTCCAAGACACATAAAAGGGGATATCTGACCTAATAGTGACATTCTGAGAAGAAATCTCCATAAGCAACACTTTCTGACCCAAAATACTTCCCTCGTATGGATTCTTGGAACAGCAGAGAACCCTGTAATAAATTGTGTTCTGAAACAGTATTGAGAAAAATGCAATTCCATTTGACCCAGTTATTTCCCTCCTTAGATGTCTTCCTGAAAGAGTTAAAGTCATCATATGAGAGTTGTTATGTAAAGGATAATGTATTTGCCCACAATATATAAAACATATGCCAACCACAAGTTAATGTCCCAAACCAATATTTTTGCTGAGGAAAAACACCGCTTAAAAGTTGTACTCAAGACATGGAAATAGCATCTACATGCACTACAAAAGAATATTATTTTAAAATGTTTGAAGTATTTTCTGGGGCTTTTGAACTGGAATATTTACATTCATCCCAAATAAAGCATTTTTTAACCAAATTCTCATGTGCCAAAAGAGAAATACATCCTGGATGATCAGAATGCAAATGTGGGGGTGGACAGCAGCTAGAAATAGTCCAACTCCTTGGCATCTGGGGTTTTCCAAGACACATAAAAGTGGTTATCTGACCTGTTAGTGACACTCTGGGAAGAAATCTCCATAAGCAATACATTCTGACCAAAAACATTTGCTTCATATGATTCTTGGAACAGCAGAGAACCCTGTAACAAATTGTGTTGTTCTAAAACAGTATTGAGAGAAATATAATTCAACATTCAGCAAGGTAAATTGCCCTAAAATTCACCTAACACAGGATATGGTCCATTTTTATATATTTTGAGCTCTTTTTATTTCTCTTCTGTTTAGATTCTGAGTACAAGTTTTTAAAATCTGATTTTGATTTGTCTGCTGTCCATACTAAAAACCCATTCTTCAAGATTGCTTGCTGGCTATCCCAGCCAGCCCTTAGTGAAAACTCAAGGGTTAAAGCATGAGATTAAAAACAAAATGTTAATAGAGGCTTCTTTAAAACTCAACAATTTCTATAAATACCACTGGAGTCAAGGTGGTCCCTGATTGTGTTACAACTGTGTAAGCAGGGCAGGACATAGTGCAGTCACAGCAGAATTAAACACATTCATACTTTTATGGTCCAAATTTACTTCTCTACTGTCGGAAACACCTCAAGAAGTAAAGCCATCAAAAGACTTTATTTCAAACTGTTCTTCTATGCTCATTGAAAAGCTTTTATTACTTGCAGGTATCTTTGATCTGAGTAAATATAACATTTGTTACATGATAAGGCACGCTAGTGGGAAGGTGTCAAAAATTACTTTTGTAAAACTAACTCAAAGGTATAATAAGAAACCTTGTCCTCTATTAGAGTAGGAGAAAACTTTAGTCTTTGAAGACTTACCTGGAGAATGGAATATCACACTGTCACCTGAAGGATGTAAAGAAGGGTCTTCTCAGACTCCGAGAGGCAGCCTGACTACACCTGAGGGGCAGAACTTCAGAAGTTTGAGGATATAATATTTCATATTTATCTTAATTTTGTAGATTCCAGGCAAATAGGATCGAGGCTGCCTGTCACTAATGGGAGTAATCAGGGTATTTTTCCTATTTAATTATAGCTAAAACAATAGTTTTTATTGGGACACAGGACAGAAGGCATTTGTCCTGAGTGACTGCTACTTATTTAACATACATCTCTCTCCTAGACAAAGATCTGTGATATCTACTAACGTTGGATCCGGCTTTTACTACCCCTTTCTTGAAACCACTCAGTACAAGCCATATTATAATCTGTTCAGTTTCCTTTTTCTGAGATTCTCGGGGATTTTTTCATGGTATGCAGTGTGCTTTTCTGCACATTTAACTTTGATAAGCATTTATATTCAAAGGCTTTAGCAGTCTTTATGTTGGCAAAGTAAACATGGCAATTGCTTAGAAGAAAGAGGTTAATTCTTGTTGCCATCATAAAACAACTAATGTTACATTTATGAGCACTTACGGTCCTACATATGGAACAAATCTAAGGAATCTACTAACAATCAAACTCTAAGGGGACGGGAGATGGCACGGAGATAACCAGGGACATGAGACCCAGGAAAAGAAGGCCAATCAGCCAGCGGATCTCCTCCAAGGCGCAGCGCTCATCCCAGAGACGCGGGAAGCAGCGCGCATGCGCCCGGTCTGCACAGCCGCCCTTTCCTGCGCGTGTCTGCATCCGGGTCCTCAGACTCACGCTCCCCGCGCCGGGCTGGCGTCTCTATGCTGTGGTGCGGAGTTGGTGGCTCTTGGTGCTGCGGCTTCTGAAGAGTCTGTGGGTCAACGGGTGAGTTTAGGCGAGCGGCTTAAAACGAGGACTCTGGCGGACACCTGGCTGGCGGTTGCTCTTCCCGGGGATTGTGCTGAACCGGGACTCGGGGCCTGGAGCAGGTGAGTCCTGGGAGCGTCGAGGCGGGGATGGCGGGGTTCCCGGCCTGGCCCCGTTGTCCCCTCTGGATTTGGGCTGCCGGGAGGTGGTGGTCTTGCCCGCGCCTCTTTCCCGACACCTGTGCTGACACTCGTTCGAATTCCCTGACAGTCGCCCTCCTCCACTCCGCGGCAGTTTGCGGAGGGCCTGGGCCCCGCCGTCGGGGAGTCTGCAGCCTGCGCCTTCCGGGCGGGACCTCGCTCGCCCAACCCCCCGGGGGTGGGGAACCTGTCACTCGCACGCGCGACCGTGCCGCTCCCGTGCTGTGCGGTCTGTATTGGTCTCGGCGTCACAGAGGCATTTCCAGGTCCGGAGCCACGTGCTGTAGAGGGAAACTCAGCTAGAAATTCTGAGTCTAGGTTCCTGCTCCGGCCCTTCTGGTAACCAGCTGCGTAATTTAAGTGCTGCAGCAGTTCTCATACCTCTCAGAAGCTCAGCTGTCTGGTTTACCCAGTTGATGCACGTACTAAATGAATCAGCACCTGCAGGAAGGACTCGGCAGTGTTGGTTGTTGAATACCATCTGATCATGATGCCAGAGAATTGCTTTCTGCCACAGCAGTTTGGGTCTCTGCGGATTGGCAGAAACCTGGAAAAGAAACATCTTAAAAATCCGAATATGAAAAGATTCTTTTTTTTTTTTCCCCCTGGGAGGATTCAGTTAGGATTCGGAGGGGTGTGTACACTTTGCCACGAAAAAATTGCCTGTACCCTGGTCTGAGTAACTGGCTTGAACTTTTTTTCAGTGAAGTGTAAGTTTTTTTCCAAAATTAAACCATTTATAAGAATCGTCTGAGTTATACACAGATTTCTTGTATTTCAGATCTGTTGAAATAGTGACCAAGGAGAAGGGCCTGAGAGACTGTATTTTCAGTAGGCATACTAAATGATTCTCAATTGATAAGGAATTTTATGAGCATAGATCTTTAAATTAGATATAGTTAAAAGTCCAGCTCCCTCTTAAACTTAATAGCTTTATCACTTTTTTTTTCTTGCAGTTTACTAGATCTGAATAGTGAGAATGAGAATAGCAACCTCAGAAACTGTTAAGTTGTGATCTTAAATAATAGGGTTTTTAATCGTATTTCTGTCTGTAGAATATAGCATAGTTCTTAGAAGATACAATAGTAGGTCTTCACAGATGTGTTTGACTGAGGAAAGATGCTTGTGCCCAGGACACAGAAGGTACAGGAAAAGATCTAAGGTCTTCTCTCCTTACAGTTTCTTTTCTTTTCACTAATAGTCAGTTTGTTGAGTTTTCAGTGTATATCCTTTGGCAATCATAGAAGCAATTTTTTTTTTTTTTTTTTTGTATCATGGATGGAACTCAGGACCTTGCACTTGCGAGGGAGGTGAGGTGCCTCTGAGCTACATCCCCTGCCCTAGCAGCAGTTGTTTTTGTTTCTTTGACATAACTACTCAGTTACACCAGTTTTTGACATTAGATTATTGTTGCACTTAAATGGAGGCTTAAGTCCATTTGTTGAACTGAATTTGACTTTTCTGTAAATGCTATTTATCTCTTGTTATTATGCTAGAATTTCTAGGCTATTGTGATCATAATTTTTTCTTGTTATGTCAGAATTCTAAAGTATTGTGCTAAGGACATAATTTAGATTCCACGTATTCATTGCAAAATCGTCTAGTTCCATTAATTTAAAATATTTGACTTAATATGCCGTGTAAAGTGTGTGGGTACAGAACTCAAGAATGTTGAAGCCATATCATGAAAGTATTGGAGTTGATGACTGAGCTATTTAAATATATAATAATTAAAATCTGATTAATTCTATAATTAATTAATTCTATAATTATAGAATACACTATAAATGTTATAAATCTGTTTTAATGTTATAAATCTTGACAATATAAAAATAAAATTTCTTACACAAATTGTGTGAATTTATGTAAGAATGCTCATGTCCACATCTTTCATGGTAGTAGAACAATCCACAGTATCTCTTAATATTCATATAATACTTTTCTTTACTTTAATCTTTTAGGACGTAAAAGTTGTTTGTGAATGTATTTTTCACAGAAATTAGCCTTTCTTATTTTGTTTTCTTTTTCTGAAGAATTTTTATTAGAAATAGCATGTGTCATCATCACATTCTTAAAAATTATGTCTGTAAGTGCTGTTTATATGAATGCACTAGGTACCAGAATGATGTATACCTAGTAATAATGATAAATATGTCTTTTCTTGGTACTGGGGATTGAACTTGTGCTTGCAAGGCAGGTGTTGGAACCACTGAGCTAAATCCCTGGTCCTAATGATAATTATTTCTGAGTTGTGGGATGTAAACATTCTTTAACAGAGGGAGATTTGGTTATAGTAACCAAAAGTTGCCCAGTAATCATTATTTTCATTAACATGTGAGCAGCAAATACCAGTCTGTTTCTCATTAGGGTTCTTTTATGTTGCTTCAATAAGAGTGTTTATTATACCTTTATAAGCAATAGTGTGATGTCTTTTACTAACATTGCCTTAATTTGAGCTCTAGCTCAGTCACTACCTGTGTGACTTTGGTCAAATTATGTCTTTTCTCATCTAAAATTGAGTGTTTATTTCACAAGATTAAATTGAGTATTTACTTCACAAGATTAAGGATTAATAAATATGTAAATGAGCTAGCCTACTATCTAAAAGTCAGTCTTCTCAAAAGAAACAGTTATTATTACTGTTTCAAAAATACTCATTGTATTTTTATATGTGCATGTTCTTGTTAAGTATTGCCCTTTTCAAAATCACCAATGTCATTGCATTTCTGTTTGAGTGTTTGTAAATTACTTTAAATGCTGTACAATAGAATTTCTTAGGTTTGAACTTCTTGTGCTGGAAGCTGTGCATCACCATAATGAGGCTTGTAATTCTTGACAACTATGACTTGGCTAGTGAGTGGGCAGCCAAATACATTTGTAATCGCATCATTCAGTTCAAACCTGGACAGAACAGATACTTTACACTGGGCTTACCAACAGGTAATAAACTGATTTTTCTGTTTTAGATACTCAGGTTGTAGAATTGAACGTTGTTCTGAGTAAAATACTTTTCTTGTCCATTACTTAGCTATATCACTGATTGAACAGATTAGTATATAAAGCCATATAGACATATATGTGTATGTTGTATGTATATACATGAATTCTTGTCCCTACATTTTGTTACTATTTCCTGTGTTAAAATTCTGTTTTACCTACTATCCCAAAGTGCAATAGGAAATACTGTAACTTAACTGATAGTCATAGTATTTTTAATTTTACTTTTTACCTTTTTCTAGTAATCCTTTATTTTTACCGGCATTGCTTTTCACTATGTACTTGTGTAGTAGGTTCGTTTTCCATATCATCAAAGGTATTAAAGTACGTGGTATTCCCTCTTCATTTCACTTTATCTGCCTTATAGTTTCTTCTCTTGGTAGCTTTTTGCTATTTCTATTTTTCTTCTTTTATATAAGTATTTACAGATGAAAGCTCTTCCTCAATATTACAACATTTTTCTTTGATTCACTTATGTACTCTGGGCTTCTTTTAGGGTGTTTGTGTTTCTTAATCACAAAATAAACTTATAGATTAATTATATATCTTCCTGGTTTTACTTTGCTGTTGAGTTGTATTAAAAAATGACCAAATAGTGTCATTTGCTCTGTGGTACTTAATTTATTTTCTTTGTACATTATTTGCATTTCATAATGATAACATTGACTAGGAAGGCAAGATATGTGTAGATAACACATAATAATTCTTTTATCGGCCCCCTTCTCCCCTTCTTTTGTTCCCCTTCCCTTTTACAAAAGATATATCTCCCCGATTCCTATTATCTGTCTTTCATTTTGCTCTTCATGTATATTTTAGGTTTGTCATATAAGAGAAAACATGATCTTTAAGCTTCTTTGTCTGATTTCTTTCTTAACATTGTGGTCTCAAGGTGCATCCATTTTCCTATAAATGATTCAAATTTATGCTTTTTTATTGCAGAGTACTCCATTGTATATAAATACCACATTCTCTCTATCTGTTCATCTCATGATGAACATATAGACTGTTTCCACAATTTTAGCTATTAGAACAATATCAAGTAACATACTGATCGTACGGCACTTTATTTGATGTTGTTAACCTTTGATTTTGCAAATGGTATTAGATGTAGAGTCAGAACTGCTCTTTGGTGAGTGCAAGGCATTTGTTATACATAGCTGAGCCTTGGTTTCCTTACCTGTAAGAAAGATAAGAATAATAGTAATAGTTTAAAATGACTTTCTCCTGTTCCTCCCCCGATATTTTTTAACTACATAAAAGCTACATTCATAATTTTTTCTACTTGGATAATTTCCATGTATGATAGTGTTTAAGTTGGTTTCATATGTTCTCTTGTTCTCCACTGGTCCAGGGTAGTCCATTTTGGTGAGAATGTCACAGGGCAGTTTTTGTGAATTTGGCACACCAATCCTGCAGGTGCATACAACACCCTCAGTTCTTTTATGTGGGCCCTGGTAATGTGTACTGGAAACCTAGGTTATTTTCAGCTTACTACCTGTATTAACTGCCTTGTCTTCATTGTGATGCAGAAATAGTAATTTGAATGTGAGGACTGAAAGGCCTTAAAGTCCTCAATACTAACAGAACTATACTTGTTTCTAGGTACTTAGATCTAAAACTTCAGCTTTATTTTTTGGAAGTGTAACTGCCTAGTAATACATCTGTCAAGGGAATACCTATGGAATCCCTTCATTGATCACCGGCAATATTAGTTGTGCCCTGTTTTCCCTTCCCTGTTGCTTTAAAATTTGAAGATACTTATCTGTGATTATAGGTAACATGGTATATCGTGGTTATTCTCCCACCAAGCACAATTTATTTAATATGTATTAGTTGGAGTAATTTTAACGAGCTTAATATAAAGGCATGCTTTAGACCTGACCTACTTTCTAACCTTATTCCCACCATTCTCTTACATTGAATTGGGCTAGAAAAGAGTAAGCCTAAATTTGCACATTGCTTTTTCTTTTTGTTTGCACTCACATTGCTTAGTGTGTATGTAGTGGAACCTATATGAGTTTTGGAACTAGACAGATCTAGATTTGAATCCCTGGCTTCACAGCCATTTGATAATTTGTAAATTCCTTTTTGACTCAGTTCTGTCTCAAAATGAGAAAGATAATACCTGTTTCCCCAAATTGTGAGTTTTACATCAGATTAGGTATAGGAACACCAACATAGTACCTAGCCACATGGGAAGCATACAGGTATCATTTTTTGTCTCATCCCCCCATCTTTTGTCTGTTTCAATTACAGTTTGTCCTCTTTATCAGAATTCTAGCCCTCCATCAGGACTTAGTTGAAATGCCATCGTCTTCGATCATGTTTCTAACAGAGTCGTAGTCTCTTTTCTTGATTCACTGCAGTATTTCAGACTTCACTTAGTTATTTTTCTCTGTGTCATGATTATTTTGTACTTGCTTGGTCCTGTATTCTTTTTCTCAGACAGAAAAGTCCTAATAATCTTTTTTGTATCTGAATCATAGTAGACATTTGTTAAATGTTACTTGTATTAGGAAATGACTATTGCAAAGAGAAAATTAAAATGAAATCTGTTTTACCAATTTACTCCGTACTGTATTTTTCAATCTTTTATACATGGATTTTAAAAGTAGATGATTGTTTTTGTCATTACTATAGTAACCATTTGTCACTTTTTATTCATACATCTTTAAATTGAAAGACAAACGAAAAACAAGATTCATTTATGCTTCTAGACAGGAAGAAGAGATAGCTAACCATTTTTTGGACAGATTTTATATTTCTGATTGTATTAATCAGTTTTCTGTTACTGTGTGACAAAATACCTGAGAAAAGCAACGTAAAAGAGCAACTTTGGCTCATGGTATCAAAGGTTGCTGCTGTCCATCCTCACATGCATCCTTTGTTTCTGGGCCTGTGGTAAGGCTGAACATCGTGGCAGGAAGCATTAGGTAGAGCAAAGCTGATCACCTAATGTGGCCAGGTAAGGGAAAGAGAGAGGAGAAAAGGCTGGGGGCAGAATACACTTTTCAAGGAGAAACCTCTTAATGACCTACTTTCTCCAACTAGGTCTCTCTGCTTAAAGTTTCTACTACCTCCAAATGAATCTGTGAAGCCATCATTGGTTTTACTCCTTTGATGAGGTTAGAGCCATCATGATCCCATCACCTCACAGAAACCCTATCTATAGTAGAGATGCAATCTTTTTACTACTTTGGAATTTCCCCCTTTTTTTTGGCCAGAGACTGTTTAGTTCTATGAACTTACATATGCTATTTGAGTAGTTTGTATGAAGGTTTTTGTTTGGTTTTGTAATGATGGTTGAACTCTTAACTGCATTGGGAGGGCCAGGTCACTTATTATAAGAGTGCAGTCAATTTAGCCTGTTACTTTGGAGTTATAATAGAAAGTACAGCAAATTTAGAAGACAAAGAGGGAGGCAGTTTCAACAGTTTCATAAAATGTGTTAATTTTACTGTCATATCATAAGGCACTTTCAAACATCATTTTGCAAATATAAAGCACGATTTTTAAATCATTTAAAATAATCACTTCATAATAGAATAAAATCAAGATGAAGTATCTAAACCAAGATCCATTTTACTAGACGTTCTCCTTATCTTAATACTTCTTTTTTATGATTGCATTTTAGCTGATACATACTGAAAAAAAATAGAAGTGTCTAATTCCTCACTCAATCCTTATTAGTTTTAGAATCAATTTTGAAAGTAGAGGCAATACTAAAATTAACTTTAGTTTCTCTTTAGATTTCAGTAAATGATCAACATTTAGGCTATTTATATATTATCTGTGCTAGAACTTAAGATTTGTTTTTCTTGAGAAAGTGGGATGTTTATTTTTATTTTTATTCAGATGTGGCCTCTTGACTTTATTCTTAGCATTTGCAGTACTACGTACAAATACCTAACAACAAGAATAACTTTTCAAAGTCTAATTTTTATTGACAGTTTTTTTAATCTTATTGAATTTATTGGTACTTTTTAAGTATACAGTAAATTTACATTTATCATTGGGATCATGTACCTGTACATGATGGGTCTTCTCATTTTTCCCCCACAGCCTTGCCCTCCCTCACCCCCTCCACCTATTGACAGAGTTTTAACCTTAATCTCACTTACTCAACAAATTACAGTTTACTAAAATTTTAAAAATACAAAGATACTAAAACTATATTTGTTAATAAATATGCATTTAAATTAATGATTACTTGCTTAATAAATTCCAAATATATGAGAGTAAGAAATATTTGTATATATAAATGCTTTTAAAATAGATTTTTGCAGTTACGTTAGAAAATTAAATTTCCATCTGTTTTAGGGAGTACACCTTTAGGATGTTATAAAAAACTAATAGAGTATCACAAGAGTGGAGATCTTTCTTTTAAATATGTGAAGACTTTTAACATGGATGAATATGTAGGTAAGGTATTTTTGAATATATTTGAATATATTATATATTGTGAATAAAATACATGTATTTTTTTGTTTTTGTTTGGTACTGGGGATTAAACTTGGGACTATATGCTTGCAAGGCAGGCAGCAGAACCACTGAGCTAAATTCCCAGTCTGAAATGAATGTATTTTAAATTTAATATAATCCTTGAATTTATGTTTTTACTATAATATATATATATTGTACTTAGGATATACTGTACTTTGTGATGAGATTGCAAATTTATATAAAAATCTGTATTGTGATGACATTTCTGTATCACGGAAAAAACAAATCAGAGGATCTGCATACATTCTTGGCTCTGCCATTGATAAGTCATACAACTTTGAGCTAATCTGTTTACATTTCTCATTCTCTGTGTCTCTGTCTCTGTTCCCCCCTAGCCCCCATGTGTTGAGGCATAGTTAAAAGCAGTAATGTAAGCTGGGTGCGGTGATGCATGCCTGTCATGTGCCAGAGTCTGGCACTCTGGGAGGCTGAGGCAGGAGGAGGATAGCAAGTCTGAATTTAGCCAGAACAATTTAGCAATTTAATAACACCCCATCTTTAAAAAATGGGCTGGGGCTATAATACAGGGTAAATAACCTGAGTTTGAGCCAGTACCACTAAGTTAAAAAAAAAAATACATAAAGTAAGAAACCAACATGGTAGTGGTGAATTAAGTAATGTGTGTGTAAAATTAATTAATAACATATAAAGATTTTTGTCCAAACTAAAGCCTCTTCATATTAATTCTTAAGCTTTTATAATGCATTGAGTGTTAACTTCAAGTGGAAATATCTGATATATAGAAACCCTGTATTAAAATACAAATACAGGAATACATTTTTAATGCACAAGGGGTAGCCAAAGAATTATGATACATTGTGCTTGGCATGCCTATAGGAAAACTAGAAGAGAAACATGGCCAGTCATTCACTTGAACAGTTATTTAATTAAATGTATAAATCATTTTAATTGATTATGATTTGGTGTGTTGGAGAAATATATAGTTGTTAAGTGGACATGAACTGTACTTCCTGTTTTTGTATCCCAGCCCCTATGTGAGCTGTCTCACCTTAGGAAAAATTCTCTGTTTTTCACTTGCTCATCTATAAAAATCAAAGGATAGTACAATTTCGTGGATGTTTTACAGCTAAATTGTATTAACATACACACATAAATAAATGTAGTACTGGGTGTATAATAAGCATATATTCAATATAAAATAGTTTTAATTTGATATGGCATAAATATTTTATTTTTTGAAATAATAAAATTTTTCTTTATTAACTTCATATTTAGGACTCCCAAGAAATCATCCTGAAAGCTACCATTCTTATATGTGGAATAACTTTTTTAAGCATATTGACATAGATCCTAATAATGCTCATATTCTTGATGGGAATGCTGCAGATTTACAAGCAGAATGTGATGCATTTGAAAGGAAAATAGAAGAAGCTGGAGGAATAGATCTTTTTGTTGGAGGTAAGAAGATTTTTGTCATGGTTTGCTGATTTAAAAAAAATCTACACATTACACAATCTAAAGAACACCTGTGACTCTAATACTCATCAATAAAAATAGAAATAGACTGATTTCTGTTTTACTCACCATCAAAATAATCTTAAAATTGTAACAGTTAACAATGAGAATTGTTCAAATTATGCTTTAATTTAGGTAGGTCTAAATTCCTTTTAAACTCTTCTGATAACATTTTTAAGGCTGACATTTTACGTCTCTCAAAGTAAGTGACCTGTTTATCCTAAATTATAGCTTTATCTTTTTCATTGATTTTAACCTACCATCACAGTCTGCTTGTGAAATGAGAATTAAATCTAAAAGTTTATAAGACATGGGTGGATTTCAGTACATAGTTCAAATTACTTCAACTCACTGAAGAAAATGGTTAAAAATGTGTTCTTTTTTTTGTTTTTCTTTTTGTTTGTTTTTTTGTTTTTTGTTTTTTGTGTACTGGGCATTGAACTCAGGTCCTTGCACTTGCAAGGCAGCTGCCGGAACACTGAGCTAAATCCCAGCCCAATGTAACTTTTAATTTATCTTCATTCTTTAGATAGTATGAGTTAAACTATAAATTGTCTTAATTGCAAAGTGAATGAGTGTTTAATTGACTAAATTTCACTTGTAAGTATATATTTTTATGTATGTATACATGTGTACATAATATACTGAAAACAGAGTTTCTTTATAACATTTTCTGTTAATCAGTATGAAGCATCTGAGACAGCTAGCTGATTGCTGTAGGAATAGTATATTAATTAATTAAAACCCAAAATTCTTTTTTGCTAGATTCTTTAGTATTCAACTAAAGAAACTATACTATTCCAAATTAACATGAAGTTGTCTTTATCTTATAATTAATTAGAAAACTCAACATTACATGAATTAGAGGTATATTGCCATTAATTTATGATTGTAGTAGCCAACTATAATTGAGGTGGTTGATTGCTTTTGCACAGAATTGGGTTTTATAGTCAAACATGAAATTGATCTTACGATCTCTCCTTGTCTTTGGTAAGTTTATTGACAATTATAATTAAATTATTTCAAAACAATATTAGCCATTTCAAAATTTTCAAGAATTAAGCACACAATAACATTTTAAAATGTCTAAAGACAATTTATGGTCTATAGTTTATATTCTGTGTTAATCTTTTCTTTTTAAACTGTAGAGACTAATACAGTTTCCCCTTAGTTTATTGAATTCTCTGAGGTTTTTAGTGAAATACTTCTAAAGATGTATAGTGAGATTGAAATTTCACAGAAATTTTTATCCCTATTTAGGAGAGCCAATAGCACTTTTTTTTTTTTTTTTTTTTTAGGATAGAGCTCGGGTCCTTGGCGCTTGCGAGGCAGGCCACCGAACCGCTGAGCTAAATCCCCGGCTACTTATTTTCTTATATAGGTACAAAAGCTTTTTTATCTGAGCAAGTATAAGTTAATCTTATTTTGTTTTTCAAAGCAGAAAGTTTATCTGTTTTAAATAAAATTACTGATATTATTTTTGTAATCTGAGAGTGTTTACACATTCCAACTTGGTACATATTGCTTAATTTTGAGATAATTACCATTCTGTTTGTCAGATTTGAAGGGTGAAACATTAGATGTTTGGTTTTTTTTGGCTTTCATTTGTATTTTTATTTTGTTACTAGAGATTGAACCTAGGGGTACTCTATTACTTGACTATAGCACCAGCCACATTTTAGTTTTTTTTAATTTTACTTTATCTATATTTGAGGCAGGGTCTCATAAATTTGCTCAGGATGGATGCAAAGTTGTGATCTTTCTGCCTCATCCTATCAGAGTACTGGAAGTATAGGTGTGTACCAATACCCCAACCTGGGAATATTTAAGGAGTATGCTAACAACTTACTCTTTCGATTTTTTTAAACTCCATATCAGAATCAAGTAGAATTGCTGGAATATAATATACCTACACTGACTTTATTAAAAAAATATTGTCACTGATTTACTGTTATACCAGAAAAGAATATTAGTTATTGGAGGTTGTTTTAAATGGATGTTTGAAAAATGTCTTCATCTGTGGACTTTGTCTTTGCTGTTAAGTTTATTAACCTTACTATGGATCTGTGTGGCAAATCTCTAGCAGAGTCAGTGCTCGGAAATAGAAATTACTTGGGGAAAATACCTGATAAGGACTCTAACTGTATTTTGTTCTTTTGCCTGCTTTCCAGAAAGTATTCATAATTTAGGGTAATTTTTAGGCTGCAGCTCTTTAAACCTGATTTCTGGTTGAACACTCATCTTTCCCATAGCTGTAAGTCATTTCTCACTTCTTTTTAGGTAACTGGTTTTGTTATGTTTCTTTACTGTAAACTACCTCAATTTTCCCCTCAAAGTAGATGGAACATAAATTGTAATTATTTATGTTTATCACTAATTCTTACTACTAAAAAAGAGTTGACTTTTTTAAACCAATTTGTCTTAAGTGTCTGATAGTCGTCTCCTCCCCACCAAAAAAAAAAAAAATTATAGGAGTTTTCTTGTCTGCTCCATTAACATCTTCATTGCAATCTGATCCAGAGTTTGAAATTTATATGTATCATCTAAAGGACTTGCTTACTCTGTACATGAGAAGAAAATAGTTAATTTATGTTTTCTTTTCCTGTTTGGAGTAACCTGTTTATTGGTGATGTCTATGTATATGAAAGAATCTGATCTGATTCTTTGTTGATTTAGATTTGTTATCATTGGATTTTTCAAAACAAGGCTTGGTATCTGGGTCTTACCACTTGCCCTTCTTTTGTTCCAGGGTTTGGTTAATAAAAACACTAAGAACTGCCAAATGGGATCAAAATATCAGCTTTATTGAAGGTAAAGTTGGAATAGATTGTAGGTTGGGCTTGAAGTCAGAATAAGCTCAAAATGTTAATCTGTTCACCCCAGGGAATTAGAGCAGGTAGTACCCTCCCTTCATAGAAAAAAAAAAAAAGGGAAAGTATATAGTCTCAAAAGTTCTCATTCCTCTAATGGCAAAAATGTTGAGAAAGAATAAAGTGTATCATGAATTTCTCACCTTACTCTGGCAAGGAGATGCACAAATAAATCTAATATTTATTTATTTACTTTTTTAAGACAGTGGGGACAATGTTGACTTTTTTTATTTTGGTTTGGTTTGGTTTGCTACATGATGGAATTCTTTGGTTTGCTGATAACAGGAAGTAACTAATGGGACCAGAGGAAAATTAGTTGGAATGATTTGGGAAACTAATAAAACTGAAGGAAGAGTTGAAACAGCTCAGTCTTTAGAAAAACAAGAACGAGAGAACCTTGTCTCTCAGTAATAGGGACTCATCATCCTTCTCCAAGCAGTGCTGCCATCCAGTGCCTCATTTCTAGATGTCCTCTGTTTTTTCTGTATCCCATGTCAAGTTTCAAATCTGGAGAGTTGGTTCTGTTTGGTTCATTTGGGACAAATGCTTATCTCTATACCACAGTCACTTTACTTTTTGGACATTAGAAATCGTCGTCATTTAAGCCCTTCTGGGAAGGATCAAATGAGATAAAGGTAGAAGAAACTAGTGGACTAGCCAAAGAATAGACACCACCCATTCATTTATTCCACCATTATTTGAATGCCTCCTATGTATAATGTGTTGTTCTAAATGGTGAAGACACATGAACATGGAGCCCTTACTCATGAAATTTATACCTACAGAATTTAAATAATACAAGAAAGACATATATCAGTCAGTGAGTTTTTTGAGATGTTTCATAGACAAACTGATATCTTAATCTAGACTAATCGTCTGAATAAGAATTAGCCAATTAAAAACTTGTATCAGAAATCTCACTTTTTTAGTTACTCATGGCCAATAATGAATGTTGATCTATCTCTATTATTATTTTTGTATTGCTACATTTTAGGTATACAGTACAGTTACATTCATCATAGGAATCTTGCACCTTTACAAGATTTATCCTGGTTCTTATTTTTCCATATTCCCTAGTCCTCCCTTTGCCCCCTCCACCCTTCCCTGTTTACAAAGACATTGTTTCCGTGTTTTTCCTGTTTACGTATTTTTTCTTTTGCCTTCTTACCTTTCCCCTACCCCTCACACTTCAACTTTTAGACCCTTTCTTCCTTTTACACCATATCAATTATACATTTTGATTCTTATTTACACTTTTAGTTTTTCACACCAGGGAAACCGGTATTTACACGTGTGACTTATTAATTTCACTGAAGAGTATGTTCTCAATGTCCATCCACTTAACTACAAATGTCTCTAGTTTCTCATTCTTTATGGCTGAGTAGTACTCCATTTTATTTTAAAAAAACACATCTTCTTTATCCTGTCTCTATTATTGCCCTTTGCTCATAATTTCTTCTGTGTGACCCAAATCACCAGTAAGAACACTAGTGTTGACCTTAGTAGACTTCGTGTTTTCTGGAGTTTGTATTTTCCTTATTTCGTCTTCTGTTCCTTACACATGTAAAGACACATGTAAGTATTTGTGTATATGACTATCTAAGAGGACAAACAATACTTTTGCAAGTCTAAAGAGAAAAGTATATGCAGTTAAAACTTAGATTTATAAGCAGACATGTACTTAATAGTGAAAATTATCCATAGTTATTAGGTGCCTACATTCAGAATTTATGTCACCACATTAAACGTTCCTAGATTGTTGTACTTTGGTAGTCTGTATTTGTTTCATACTCATTTTTCCTTCACCCTTCAAAAGTAGGTAACTGTCAGATTTTATGTTGTGCTCTGTGAATTTCTTATATTAGAGTTCTGTGCTGAATGTCAGTAAAATATGCCTAACTTATTATTAAAGTGATTGTGTAGAAATGTAAAAGATATTTTAATGACTTGGAGAACTTGTAGTTTTAGTTTTTAATTGACGTTGTCATACATTTAACTAGGTTAAGAGTATATAAAATATTTTATGAATTATTTTGTAAAAAAAAATTGCTTCTCATTTTCTTCAATTAAGGAATGCTATCTATGTTGTTACTTACATTTAGAAGCAATTCTAGAATATTAGAATTATCTGTAGTTCTCTTTAAAGCAGTATTCTTGAAACTGGTTGTCCTTCATTATTTGGTCACAAAATCAATGTGGCAGTTACAACTAGCATTTCCTTTTTGTTTCTTTTATAAAATAAAATGGAATATAATAGAAAATAGCTTTTTGGCTCCTTTTAAAGCTAAGTATGATTTTATATGATTTTCATTTTAATTGTATTTTAGATTTTGTGTGAGATGTGTGTATGTACACTAGATTGTAGTGTCAGATGTTATTTCTTACAATAGGTTACAATCAGAAGCATTTGAAAAACTGTCCAGTCTATTTTTATAGGTGAGGAAACTGTAATAAAGAAAGGTCCACTAATTTCCCCAATCTGGACTAGAACTAACCAAATTAAAGCATGAGAATAGAGAGCACTGTGTTAGGAATCAGAAGATTTACAGTTGAGTCTGCTTTGGTATTTACTAAATTATGACTGAATGAGTCACTTGTTTTCTTTGAGCATTGGTTTCCTTTTGTATTATTAAAAAGGTGGAAGAGAGGAGGAAAAACAGATTTGCCTCATCTTACTACCTCACAAGATGTTTAAATATATCTGTTGTGATAATCTATGTGAAAGTGATTTATGAATTGTAAAGTCTTAATTTTACTGCTATTATCAGAATCATTCCAACTCATTGCTGTTCATATAGAACACATGGAAATACTTTGTTGAGTAAAATATAGAAACAAATATTTTAATGCAGTATTAAGAATTCAGCTATAAAATAAGACCAGGTAAGTGTCTTTATGATTATTTCCTTGATCTTAAAACTGAGTAGAACTTTGAGAATACATATTTACTATATGTGAGAAACCTAATTGACTTTATGCTTATATGTGTGTATATTTTTTTTTTTGAAAGGAATAGGTCCAGATGGTCATATCGCTTTTAATGAGCCAGGATCCAGTTTAGTATCAAGGACAAGATTAAAGACTCTAGCAATGGACACCATTTTGGCAAATGCTAAATATTTTGATGGAGATTTATCAAAAGTGCCAACTATGGCTCTAACTGTTGGTGTGGGGACAGTGATGGATGCTAGAGAAGTAAGAATTAAATGTTATTTTTTCTATGATATTTAGGTAAAGTGATTGTAATACACAGTGATATTCATCCTATTTGCAATAAAAATTATGTTTAAGTTTTCAGTCACAGAATCTTGTCAGTATCGTGTTCAGGAATCAACTTAAGTATCTGAAGCTATCAACACCGCACCTTTTTCATGTACTGTCTTACTTTTGTATTCTTGCTTCACAATTGAGGTCTTAAAATCTTACTTATCATATGGTTTGTTTGTTTTTAATTCAAATACTCTTGTAAAAGGACTGTTGGAATAAAGGTGCAATCTTTGCACACTTTCTGGTTTTGGAGCCCTCAGGATGATTAAGTTTAACGTGCTTCTTGGCCATATGAAGGACGTGAATAGCCAGTCAGAGGGTTGGATCTGTTCCAGATGTAGCATATTTAAAAATGTCTGAGCAGTGAACCATAAATCTTGCCTAATTTTTAAGTCTTTCATTGGACTTTTATTCTGTTCCTTGAGAATAACAAATTAAGAGTCTGTTTATGATTCCACTGTTTAAATTATGTGGAAATCCAGCTAGGAAGATTGGACAGGTTCACAGAAAGAGGATAAAATATGATTCCCAAGTAATTATATTTGGATTTGAACACACAAAACTCATTCACATATATAGGAGGTCCTCATTTTCTGAAAATCATGGATAAATGAAAAAGACATGTCAAGGACTGAAATTTCATAGCAGTTAAATTGAAAAAGAAGCATTTAAAAGTAATCTTATTTCTAAAAGATGAAACTGAAAGTTAGCAAGTAGATTTTTTAATTTTATAGGATCCTAGTTAACAGTATTTATACTTATACTGATTTTTAGAATAAACAGATAAGCAGTTGAATATTTTTTTCTTTTGATCAGTTTTTCAGACAAAAATATAATGCCATTTATGTAACAGTATTTGTTTCCAGTATGACCATAGTCAGTATGGACAAACTATTCTAGGGCTTCATTTTTCCCAAGGACCTATCTTAGTTTGATTGTTCGTAGCATTCTATTGAAATAAGTGTTAATATTACTGCATTTTATTGATTTTCCTACCTTCAACTGTTATTGGTTTAATGTAAACAGATTCACTTTTGCCAGTGATTTTAACTGTGATATGAGTTGTATTTTAGTATCATTTTTATTAATAGTTTGTACATATGGTGATTAGAAACTACAATCAATTTTTAAAATTTTTAAAACTTAATATAGTGAAAGACACATTACCAAAGCAGTGGGACAAGTGTGTTCAAAGATGGGGAATATTTGAGTATCGTGGTGAGGATGAATAGCAAAGTATCTTTTACCGTAATTTAAAAAAAATTAAATATTTACTGTTGTTTCTTATTATCCCCTAAACTTAAATTTGAATCTGTGTCAAGGCCAGATGTTACTAAGCCGGAGGGTTTGAGTAGGGAACTAAATTTTAAGTGGTGAGTTCATCAATATCTGTTTTCCCATTTGGCAACTCATATAATTAGGACCTTCTGTACATACTTGGGAAGTTATTTCCAATTTCCTTAAGACTTGTGAATTGTCAGGTATATAAGGAATGTCATAGGCCAGTGGCCTTCACTATCAAACTTCTTCTTTGTACACTTCACCATTGACGGTATATCTGGATGTTCCTTGTGTTGCTAATAACTCATTGTTGACTGTTCATGGTATTCTAATACCTCATATTCAAAATTATTTTATTTGCTTATGTTTGTTAGTTAGCACTGGTCAAAATTTTTGGGGTGTTTTGCTGTGTTTCCTGGTTTATTATCTGTTTCTTCCTTAAAATCTCCATGAATTTGTGGGTCATTTATTGTAGCACCTAACACTGCCTGTCACATAACAGATATTAAGTAACTCATGGTAATAGTTTGAATGCATTGTGTATGTTTACAATACATTGTGGACAAAATTGGTCCTCTTCACAGTTTTATCTACCTGAACCACTAGAACTGATTTGTATTCACTTTTGGCTTTTTCCACAAGCTAGTTTACCTTGAAAAGGTAAAATTTGTTCTAAGTTATACTTCAAGATGAATATTCTGATAGTGATTTTTAAACACAGACTTTTTTTCACTATTGCAACATCTTTAGAATAATAATTTTAATTATTTGGATATTCTTACGATGACATATGGGAGCACCAGTAAATCTTAAAGTTTACTTTTTAATGCCTTATTGAAAGTCACAGAAGTGACCAGTATTCCTGCAAGTTTTACCTACAGGACCTCTTTTCATCGTCTATGACTGTGGACTTTTCTGTCATAAAACTCGGCATCATCCTTCCTTTCTGACCACTTCTTCTATGCCAGCTTTCCCAGCTCTTCATCTGCCTTATGAAAGTTGTTTTTTCCTGGAATTTCACTGTAGCACTGCATGCTCTTTCTACATACTCTGCGCAATCCTCTACTTGACTATTTCTTAAAAAACTACTGCATCTGTCTGCAATAGTCGTAGCATTGAACATTCTTGCCAGTAGTTTTCATCACTGTTCCAAAGTAGATTACTTTCATTACAGTGAGAACCTGCTAATGCATATCTTTAGCCAGTTTTCTTTCTGAAGCCATACAAAGAGGACTGTTACTCTGCTGACGTCCAGAAGTTTAGACTCCTTATATTACACTATTCAAAATTTGAATTTGTCTTTCTACCCAAATTGTCTTCTAAATATTTCTTCTTGATAACAAGCATTGTCCTAAAAATTTTCTGTTCTTGAACCATTTATGCTCATTCACCTTCTTTTCCACATTTAATCATTCACTAAGTCCCAACCATTTACAGATAATGTGCATGAATATCAGCTCCCTTCACAACCAGTATAATTCAGTCTCTTAATTTTTTAAGAGTTCTGGCTTTTATTATTAGTAGTCGTATTTCCATTAAGGTTATTGGCACATTTTAGGTATATAACTTTTTTGAGAACTATGTAAACTCATTTCTAATACATAACTATTTCTGGTCTTTACCTGTGTCAGTCACTATATTACTGCCTGGATAATTTTTCAAAAACATTTTTTAAATTTATTATCTCTGTAACGTTGTGTGTATAATTTCCTATTACTTCATTACAAAATCAAGTCTCACCACTTAACATCTCTGACTCAACCAGTTTCCAGACATTTTCTTTTGGTTCTCTATGCTCCATCCTTACCAAACTTCTAGCTTTTTAAAAATTCTTTATTTTAAATTTTATTAAACCCAGGGCCTTTGTATTGAGCTACATCCCCAGCCCTTTTTATTTATTTTTTGCTTTTTTTTTTTTTTTTTGAGACAGTGTCTCACTTCATATCATAGTTCAGGCTAACCCTGAACTCACTGTGTAGCCCAAGCTGGCCTTGAACTCACAGTGATCCTCCTGCTTCAGCCATCCACCCTAGTCCTGGGATTACAGGTGTATGCTATCACACTAGGTTCTAGCTTTTGATTGACTATCGTGTAATTCTCTGAAATACCCCACTACCTGGAGAATTTCTGTTTGTCTAGAAGACTTGGTTTCCTAGAGGAGATACCCTACACCTTTTCCAAGCTTTCCTATAGATTTACTATCATGTTATTATTATGCTTTGTTTTGTATATAGAGATTTTATACATTGAGTCCAATAATTTACATATCAGTTCTTCTGACATCCTTCCCATCTTAAGGCTGTATAACACACTGGTTCTCAAACATCAGTGCATGTGTTAAGATTCACTGGTGTCCACACCCAAAAACTGACTGTTCAGATTTGAAGATTTTGCCATTTGAGAAAGCATCTCAAATTGTTTTGAACAAATGTTTTTTATGATATGAGAAATTCTGTCATTGAGAATAGAAGTTATTAAAATGCATTACAAATCAGTATTATTTTGAGAGCTATTTTTTAATCTCTGCTTTTTCAGATTCTTATATCTGACCTTGCCATAAACACCAGTCTTTCATCCTATATTTAAGTCCAGCAGCCTCCACTCCTTCCATTCCCTTTGTACAGTATAAGTGTTTCCTCTTTTTATCAATAGTCAAGCCTTTTCACTCTTTCCTCAGTATACACAATATTGAGATTTGTGTTGCCACCTATGCCATCACCTTTCTACAGTATGTGCTTCAATGATGAAAGAGTCTTCACTCATATTTTAGAGGTTGTATAATGTAACTGTTAGTTGTTAAGGATATGGACCCTAGAATCAAACCACTTCTTTATATCTTGGTCCAAGACTTTGGGCAACTTAGAAAATATCTATTCTTATCTGTAAAATAGCAATAACTTTTATCTCATGAAAGTTTTGAGTTTTATCCTTGAATCATATTTGAAAATTTTCTGAAATAAACATTGGAAAATATCTTTATGCAGCAGTTAGTATTTTCATTTACTCCAGACTACTGAAGTAGCTTTATAGAGATTCTTCAAGTGCCAATCTAAGAACTTCTGCCACATTTTCTGCATAATGGTAACTTCAGAGGCTCTGAGTCTCAAAAATACTGTGACTTTTAGGGAATTGGAATGGAGACAAAAACCTGTATTTTTTTGGCTTTTGTTTTTAGTTCCTTCTGTAACACATACGAGTCTTAAGACAAAAACATTGGCTAATAATGTCCAGCAAGGAGAACTATTTTACAAATTCATTTATACTTTGTTTTCCTTCTATCACACATAATTTTTGTTTCAAAGGATGAATACAATTATAGGTGGTGGCATGTTAAAATCTACTTATATAGTGTGTATGAATACGTACATAACAAAATTTCTGTTGTTAAAAATACTTGACTTGCAGCTACTTTATCTGTGGTGAGAAATACCTTTAAGGATTTGAAACATTACATAAACTTAAGTGTACAGTCTGAGTTGCACACTGACAGTTTTACTGCTAAAAGATTCATTCTGACACTTCACATTTCCATATGTTCTTTGAATTATTTCATAGGCGGTTAAGAGTTATTAGGATAAAGTGGATTTTTTTGTAGTTTGTAAGCATAATCTCAGTCATGTATGCTTGAAAGACAGATCTTGTGTTTAACTTGATTCTTAATTCTACCTTTGTGTGAAACCTTATATAATTATAGTCAATGAAATGATCTTGACTTCTCTGGATAATATTTTGTATATTTAAAAGTAGTATTTAGGGCTGGAGATTTAGCTCAGTGGTTCTGCTGTCTGCCTCACAAGCATAAGGTCCCGAGTTCAATCCCTGGTACCAAAAAAAAAAAAAAAAAAAAAAAAAAATAGTATTTATTGCTTATCTTCACTAGACTGCATTGTTGTACTGTTGAGATGATATAAATCTTTCAAGATTGGTGATTCTCCTTTGGCAAGCTAGCTCTTTCATTCTTTCAGATCTCTTACACATCAGTATTTATTGTTAATAATCACAGTTTGAATTATTTACTTCTGTTTCATAATTCAGTACCTACTCATTTGGAACATGTTTTAAGTATTAACAATGAATTGTATGATTTTTTAGGTGATGATCCTCATAACAGGTGCACACAAGGCATTTGCCTTGTACAAAGCAATAGAAGAAGGAGTCAATCATATGTGGACTGTTTCAGCTTTCCAGCAGCATCCAAGAACTATTTTTGTATGTGATGAAGATGCTACTTTAGAACTAAGAGTTAAAACTGTGAAATATTTTAAAGGTGAGCATTGAATTTCAAAAGCAGAGTGAGATATTCTGTCGGAGGTGACAAAACTTATTACTATAGGGATTAAATCCCACACTGGCCTGTTGAAATCTAGCATTGCGCTGATACTACAGCTAATTTTTTAAGGAATAAAATTTTTCACTTGGGATAAAAGTAGCTTTCAGAGTAGTGCCCTATTTTGTTTTCCTTCAAGAAGAAAATGTATTTTCCTTAAATACATTTTTCTTGAAATCTGAAATTTAATATTTTACTTTCATATTGAATATACCAAATAGAATGTATTATCTTTGTGTTTTCTGTGTTTCTTTTCACGTTTACCAACCCAATCTCAACCTTCTACTTAAATCCTAATCCATGGTAAGATTCATCTCCCAACCATTTAATCATCACAGTTTCAATTTCCCCTATAATAGCTAAGTTTTAAATCACTGGGGAATAAACACTACAAATCAGCAGGAGTTCCACTGCCCAGACTTCTGCATGATTTTCCTTTTCCTTTTTCCTGTATTCTATTTTAGTAATTCTCAAACCTTATTGTACTTGGTTGTATATATAAAAAAAATCATATATACTTGACATAATGGGTCATTTATATATTAAGAGACATTTTTACTAGATTAAACTTAGAACCTATCACCTGATTGAGTGGGCTTGCTATATAAACCCAAACACATAACCAAGCTATGTAAACTATTTCTTTATAAATGACCTGTATTTATACAGATGATGTTATAGTTCATAGTATGTGTGCCCCATTTGTTATATGAATAATCCAGGTATCAGAAAAAAATTTACTGAATAAATCAAATCTCTCATGAATATAATTGCTTAAGAAAAAATTAAGAAACCATATTTTATTGACTCTCATACTCATCTTTAATTGGGATGTCTTAAAATTGGTGTCATACCTTATAACATTTTTTATGAACAGTATACAAAATGGTGTCAAATTACACAGCATTTCATATTTTAAAATGTATATAATCTTAAAAAGTATAATTCAGTTTAAAGGAAATCGTTACCTTTAGCATCATGTAAAATGTTAGGATATGGCAAAAATGTTCTAAGTGGTATGTAAGTGGTTGAAGCTTGGCAAGTACTGAAAAATCTTTTTTAAAATAATTTTGATCATGTAGTGTATATAGTTTTGTGTTGTATTTACATTTAATGTTTTGTGAGCATTTTCCTGCTTTACTAAATATTCTTCAAAAGCATTTCTATAGGGTACAGTCAAGTAGATATATCTTTTTTTGATATAATTTTAACATTTCCTTGTATAACACATTGATTTACCTTTTATATTGTCATTATTTAACCAAGACAAAAATATATCAAATTAAGATAAGAAATTATTGGCTTCTTTTTAATTTGATGGGTAGAAACAGCACCTCAGTGATTGGTTGTGAATAAAATGAGTTTGCAAGTAAAGTTCTACCTATACATTGTATTTCCTTGTAGTTTTCTGAATTTCATCACAAATGTTACATTCTTTGAGGTTAGTACAAACAATTTTCATTATCTACTAATTTGAATGCCAGTTTTTTGTTTTTATTTTTGGTACCAGGGATCAAACTCAGAATGTTGTGCTTGCCAGGCAAGCACAGCACCACTGAGCTAAATCCCTGTCCCTTGAATGCCAACTTTAAGGCATTTAACTTGTCTATTTTGTAGTCCAGTAATCCCTAGATAAACCCTCTACTAGTCCTGATTTTGTCATAATTTGATTTTTATCATATATTTAATAGCCAGTACTCATGTTAAAAGTAAGCTTTAGTAAGAACTGTGCACAAGCATACATACCCATTATAAAATTAAAGTCTACATATAAGTTCCCACTCTGAAGCATATATACCAGTTTTAAAATGAAACTTGAAACCAGCTTAAGTTTGAAAATTAATTTTTACTCTAAATTGTTTAATACAGGCTTCTCTATTGTTTTAGTAAACCTTATTGTGTGATGAATCTTACTATCAATGCAGAGTAATATATTGGAAGACTGAAGCTTAGTATAATAGTAATTATAGTCCCTACCCAGAATGTAGTAGAACTGACAGAATCAAGTCAATGTAACTTTAGATGTAATTAAAATACATTATCCAAGTTGTTCAAGTTTGTTATCCTGTCAAACTGTTGGCTCTCTGAAGAACTGCTCCTACTCTTCTTACTTCAAAAGTGCTGCACACGTTTTAGATGTGTAGTTTCATAATTATTAACTGATACTTGCTAGGTAGTTGAAACAAAATATTTTAAAACATTTCTATTTGTATTTTTCAGTAACTTGACTTTTGTATTAGATGGGTACCATATATACTTACTGTATCTTCTAAATATTTTGGTTTCTAAAGTAAATGAGATAGATCAAAAACACAACTAGAACTGTGCTTTTTGTCTTTAAGGTTTAATGCATGTGCATAATAAACTTGTGGATCCACTATACAGTATGAAAGAAGGAAAGTGAAGGAGATTGAAGCAAAATTCTACTTGAAAAGACCACTGTATTAGATGCATTTTCAGCTATGCAGTATGATAACGGGAAATACTGAAGATTGTCACTTTAAAAATCCATTATATATGTTAAACATTCCATAGTTAGAATATCTGTTTTACACTAGGATTCATGAGAAATAGTTGGCTCTCCAAGCTGTTAGCAATTACAGAAAGCTACATAGCCACTTATACAGACAGTATAGAGATGTCTGCTGATTTTAGGTGCCATGTGTGATATAACATAGACTATTCTTTAATTACAGGAAGACACTCCAAGCCTTTCATTTATCAAACAAGTCTCATTTCAAATCTTTACTTTTGGAATGCTCTCTTTAGATTGCTGTGTATTATACACATGATTATCTGCACGGTGTTGCCTTAGTCATCTTTCAGCAGTAGTTGGACATCAAAAGTCCTGCTACATATTGTTGATAAAGGAAATGTGAAGAGATGACAGTGTTTAAAAGTAGTTTACATCCTTTTAGAAAGTATGTGTAAGTGCATGTTTTTTTGCGCACCTTCTTATATAGCACCTTTTTACAAATACGCTCTTATTTTTACTTAATGACACGGGTTTATGCCCCCCCCATATATATATAGCTTGGCAATTATGAGCTTTATATAAACCTAAATTCTTTTGAAGAATATTTTCTGATTATTGCTAAATTTCATAAATGATTAGCTTTATTCCTTATATATAAAATGTCTAAAAAGATACTACTATGCTATATAAAATTACTGTAAATCATTCATTGCAGATTGTGATAAACTGAATAAATTGCAGGTCTGTATTGTTTTCTATAACTCAAATAAAGCTTATTAATAATAAGAAATTTATCTAAATTTTATTTCTAGAAGTGAAACAAACATGCATTTGGGAGATTCCAACAATTAATAGTACTTGTGAGTTTACATTTAATTTGTTGCCATTATGTAGTAACTAGATTTAATAGTCTCTCTACCTATAGTTTTACTTTTGTAAAAGAACACACCTCATCCTTTGCATATTGTGCATTTTATAAGCACATCTTGTAGAAGCCTAACTTAGGTATCTGCTTAATCTATGAATAAAATATTGCTTATAAAATTTAAATAGCAAGTAAATTAAAAATGTGGTAAGACTTCCAGAGTAAAATTATGCTGCTTTACATTAATTAGAGACGTTTGATAGCCTTACAGAAGGTTTTTAGCTAACCAGTGTATCAGCAGCATCAGGTAGTAATAATTTTAATATTAAATATTTACTGCAGACAACTCTATCTTTGGTCATATAGATCAGAGTGAAAAAACCAAAGGTGTCTGTTTCAGTGTTCTATCCACAGATATTTCTGTGCTTTGAAGGTCTTAAAACATACTCTTTTTTATTACAGCTGATACTAAGAGGATACTTTAGGGGCCGGGGATTTAGCTCAGCAATTCGGTGGCCTGCCTTGCAGGGACCCGAGTTCAATCCCCCGGTACCAAAAAAAAAAAAAAAAAAAAAA